AAGTAGTGCTAGGTGTTGTTTGGACTGGATAACCAGTTCAGCCAAATTGTTATACACAGCGATACAATTCCAAATATGAGAAAAAATTCTCAAATTCAATGTTGCATCTGATACATTTCCATGACGAATGATAAAGAGCTGGATGACACTTCTTTAATACTTCCAAAGTTGGCAAGATTTCAAGAAGTCGATGAATTTTTTTTGTTTGATAGCCGAAGCTTCATAATATATTGCTTGTAAGGCAATATTATCTGCAATGCAACAAAAAGTAGCAAGTCAATGAACATCGAAGGAGTGATATTTGGAAATAATATCGAGATTGAAGAACACTGCAATAGTTTCTGCTCTTTTAAGTTCTTTAATAAAGGGCCGAATCGGAGAGGCTATAGAGAGTTTGTCGAACAATAACGAGTAATGCTCATCGTCTTCTATGTTGATATGAAGAGCTGTTGAGGACAAAGATTGTTTAGCAAGCGAATCAACTTTGTCGTTAAAAGTGTCTCCTGAATGTGCTTTCACTTTGATCAGTGAGACGGTGAGATGCATCATCTTAATAGTATTGAATATGCAGTACCAGATATGAACATTGGTTATCTTCAGAAAGGGTCTTTGAGATGGTGAATATATTAACAAGTTTTTATATCTGTTGAACTGTGCAATCACTGCACTAGAGTCAGTGAATATTTTAATTCGACATTGAGGAGGAGCAACTAGAATAGCTATAAAGATAGCAGCTAACTCAGCACTCGAGGAGGATGGGAAGGAGGTGGTGAAGGCTGATAAATATGAGATAATTGGTGCAGTAGACAAAGTCTGGAGCCAAGCAAGACCCATACTAACTGAAGGTTTTCCTAAATTAATAAGTGAGCCGTCGGAATAGAATTCTAGGTCAGAACAATATGTAAAGTGTGAACATAAAGTTAATAATTGTGAGGAATGCGAGGAAGAAATATATTTTTCGATAAATGTAGGTGAGGTAGGAAGAATAATAGGAAGCGCAAGAGGCAATCTTAGTGTAGTATGTAGTTGTTTGAAGAATGAGTCAGCCAAGTCTTTTAATAGATCCAATGACTATGAACAGAAGGGTCTAGACTCAGACCAACTATAATTAACAGGGATGACAAAACAAAGATTAACTGGAAGGGTAGTAAAACATAAATTATGTAAAGTATGAACAGTTGGAGGTAAGATCGTATGTGGATTACGAATCAAAACTTCCTTTGCATTCTTTTAAGAGAGTCTTTTGTTGTTGATTTGGTGAAGGAATAAAGTGTTGTATAGTGGTAGAAATATCATCAGAATGTCGAAGTTTTCCAATAATAGGTTGGTTGTTGCCCAAATTCCATCCTATGATAAAAGATTGTTTGCCAGAAATCTTTATTAGATGAGCAAAATCAAAATAACCATCCTTCGAATGTGAAAATTTATGACGCACTTTGCTTGTATTGGAATATGTGAGATGTTCTTGTAGATTTGTGAACCACCTTGGTATTCTTCCTATATGCAGAGTATTTCTGTATACTGACAGGTCAGCAAAAGAAAGTAATGCACAACCATGCGAATAGGAGAGTTGTTCAATGAAAAGCAAAAAATATTTTCTAAGATTAGCAGAAAATTCTCTGTAACGTTCAGGAATAATTGTATGTAGTAGAGTATTTCCTCCTTTAATAAGGTTATGAGCGTTTATTGGTATTTGAACGGTGATTTCAGATTTTTTCCATTCACAGAGAACATTGGATACCCAATCCGAGTCTTTAGAAGGGGAATTATAAGACTAACAAACTAATGGGGATTCTTTTTAGAATGATGATCATTCAATTTGAACGATTCAATATCATTCCAATCAGATGATGCAAAATCGTTCAATTGAAATGATCAAATTATCGTCCCTTTAGAACGATAAACTATTGTTCAAATCAACATCATCATTCTAATCAGATGATCTGATTAGAATGATCAAATCATTGTTCCTTAAGGGACAATACAAATTATTCAATAGAAATGATGTTTCAATTGAACAATACAAAAATTATCTAATTGGCTAAAAAACTTTCAGATTAATTCGAAAAAAATTTTTCCTTTTTTTTTTCTGTATTTTTTTCTTATCTTGAAGATTTTTACCATTTTTTTTAGGAAAATTCTCATTTTGGAAATGTGGTAAATCATTCTTTAGGTGAAAATTTACTATTTTTCTTATTTTTTCTTGTTTTTTTTAGGAAAATTTTCATTTTAAAAATAAGTAAATCGAAAACAAGTTTTTGGGTGGATTTTCCTTTCTTTTTCTTGTTTTTGTAGGAAAATTCTCATTTGGAAATAAGATAAGCAAATCGTTGGTGACTTTTTGGGTGAAAATTTACTATTTTCCTTTTTTTCTTTTTTTTTTTTAGGAAATTTTTTAAGGTAAGCAAATTGTTAGTGACTTTTTAGATGAAAATTTACCATTTTCCTTTCTTTTTCTCATTTTCTTAAAAAATTTTTTATCTTGAATTAATAATGATTTTTTGGTGAAAATTTACCATTTTCCTTTCTTTTCTTATTTTTAGATATTTCTCATCTTGGAATTAAGATAAGCAAATCGTGACTTTTTGGGTGAAAATTTACCATTTTCTTTTACTTTTTTCTCATTTTTTTTAGGAAATTTATCATTTTCTTTTACTTTTCTCATTTTTTTTAGGAAATTTTACATTTTGAAATTAAGCAAATCGTTAGTGTGAAATTTACTATTTCCTTTTCTTTTTTCTTATATTTTTTAGGAAATTTCTTATCTTAAAATTAAGATAAGCAAATCGTTGGTGACTTTTTGAATGAAAATTTACCATTTTCCTTTCTTTTTCTTATTTTTTTTAGGAAATTTCACATTTTGAAATTAAGGTAAGCAAATCATTAGTGACTTTTTAGAAAATTTCACATCTTGGTAAGTAAATTGAAGGTGACTTTTGTTTGGATTTTTTAACCTTTTTCTTTATTATTTTTTATATTCTTTAGGAATACACTATAATAAGTCAATCGAAGGTAGTTTTAAGAAGGAATTTTTAACTTATTCCTTTA